GTGTGTGTGTGTGTGTGTGTGTGTGTGTGTGTGTGTGTGTGTGTGTGCGTGCGCGCGCGCGCGCGCTTAAGGGACAAAAGTGCGTCTGTGTGTGTTTGGGATGATTAATGTGAAATATCCTTTAGCCAGATGGTGCTGGACAAGGCCCATCCATCAGCAATGAAAAGACCAGTGGGCAAAAAGCTGGCGGAGCACTTTGTCTAGGGCCAATGCCCCTCACTGGACACACACTCTCACTCTCTCTCTCTCTCTCTCTCTCTCTCTCTCTCTCTCTCTCTCTCTATCTCAGACACTACACACAGACAGACTCTCTAAGGCCTTGACTATGTAACCCACTGAGCCATGTTGGAGCCATGTGTTTTGTTTTGGAATACAGGTTCTCTCATGAGTGGTGGTGCCTTACCCTTAAAACAAGTTTGGTATGCTTTCGACATGTAAAGGTCTGCAACCCATTTCAGTCCCAAGAAAGAGTGTGAGGCTCAGCCTTTCTACCATTCTACTGCATGATTTGTGTTCATACGAGTTCCTCAGTAAGCATAAGCATGTTCTGTATTGATAACCAGTAACGAGATGTCTGAAAATTGTACTTCATGAACAAACTACCAGCTCCGCCTTTGTTCACATGTACTCAGACACATTTATAAATGATCACATTCATGATCACTGGCGTGCTTGTCTGTGTGTAGTTAGAAAAAGTGTATGAACACACTACACACACCGTACACTCCTTTCCCTTTGCTGCATCACCGTGTCATCTGGTCTAAAGCTTTGCTCCCTCGGGGCTTTGCCCTTCCAGGTTGAGGTTGTGAAACTCCCATCACGCTTTAGTCATTCTCAGCAAACTTAATGTGAGAGTGTCCATGCATTGAACTGTTTCTGGCAGAGCTAATATATCCCCTCTCGCCCCGCACTGTCATTGTCTCCTGAGAGCACACACAGACGCATACATACACTGTCCATGCTGTGTTCATAGGCCTGAATGACGGGGGTGACAGTTTTCCTTGAGGCAAGGGAGGAGGGACAAGCTGTCAACATGGCCCGTTGCACCTGCCCAACCATACAAGGGAGGGAGAGGGAGAGAGAGAGAGAGAGAGAGAGAGAGAGAGAGAGGGAGAGAGAGGGAGAGAGAGAGAGAGAGAAAGAGAGAGAGAGAGAGAGAGGGATAGGGATGGTAGCTACTGTAAATGAAAGGCTGATAATGAAAGATGAACAAGAGAAAACACTTAATAACACTCAGTAAACTCCCCCACTTGTTATTCTGAAATCCCAGTTTGCTTCATAAAAGTTGACATAATTATTTATCTTTGAAGAAAGAAGTTAATTAGTCTAACAATTCTCCCCCCCAACAGATCACATATTTTTTTCTGCACGTTGCTAAACTGAACAATTGGTATTCAGCTTTTTTTCCCTTTTGGCAATTTTAATTACTTTTATTTAGCAGAATGAGTTTTTTTTTAAGCTGCTGTTGTTTTGCATTGTTGTGGAAACCTAACCTCCATCTTTGTTGAACTTGACATTTGCTTGCCACACTTTTCTTCTTCTCTTCTGTTAATTAACTGACTATTTAGGGCAAGAGAAGCCGGGAGTGGAAGAAGGAAGAAAATAGGAGACAGAAATATTGGTTATGGTGATTTACTTTCTTGTGTCTCCGCCCATCTGCCTCTCTCTGTCTCCTCTGTGAAAGCCATTCTTTAGCTCAGCCTGTCTGCGGTTCAGCACGGCTCTTAGAATGTCTGGAAATGTCTTAAATTATGTAAATGCGAGGCTTTAAAGGTGCTGTGAGCTGAGCTCTTTTGTTGCTACCGTACAAAGGTAGTTGATTATCTTGCCATTCTTTTTATTTTTATATGCTGATAACTGCAACTACTGTGCCATTTCTTTGGTAATTATGATGGACAAAGCAGTAGATGGAAATAGTGTAATTGTGGCTGCTTTGGATGTTCATTTATGATGCATTCTGGGGGAAAGAATGTTGCTGCGTAAGATTTGTTCTCAAAAGCATTTCACTCC